GAAGACTATTGTATCGTTAAAAATTATTTCTTTATTTTGTACAAACAAAATAAATATATTGAAAAATATAAAAACAAAAAAATTATATTTTGAAAGTTTGTTTTAATATAAACATTATGATGCATAGCAACATCTAGTATCAAAAACATACCAATACTGTAACAAGATATATCAGACTTAACCCTGCAGGTCAAACGACCCCAATATATGTTTGGAATAACAGTTGAGGTTAAAGAAGTGATGAAATAAGACATTAGAATTGTTTTTGAACCATATCACAAAGAAATATGATGATCTGATAAAAAAAAAAAAAAAAAAAGGCAAGCTTTGTTTAGATTCATATCGGAATTTTGCATCGACAAAATTCGATTGCGGATAATTCTTTTCCTTTACAGTCTATCAATGTTTATCGATTGAAAAATATAAGAAAAAGTTTGCGAAATTGCACTAGCAGATTACAATTTGCAAAAGTTACGATGAGAATTTTATTTTTCATGGCTTTTATCGACTGGTCGAGCGATAAAACTTATCCGAATTGCGGGAATAATGAGCGTTTAGCGTTATTGATTTTTCCTTAAATTTTAAAATGTTACTTTAAAAAATACTCAACTAATTCAGATTGGATTAAATAATCTGGATTGTAGAGAATTTCAAAATATAGTAGAATTTTATAAATTTTAATGAATTAATAACGTTATTTATATATTTACGTTGAGTAATATCATGTATTACGCAGAGAAAACATAGAAATGATCTTTGTAACTTGGTTATCTCTTGAACGTATTTAGTTTGGCAATAACATACCGGTTCTTTGTCCAACATATAAAAAGAGACATTAGAATTTACATTTCAAATTATTATGTAAAACATTAAATGTCTTTAAAAAACTATACATAATTTTTTAATGTTACATAACAATTGTTATTTTTAGAAAAAAAAGCACTATATCTTTCTAAAAGTAACTGCTGATAAACCCACTCTAAAATTAATTAAACAGGAAACAGTAATGATTTTTCTCAATGAAATCAATAAAGATTTCTTATCATAATTATGATGTAATTTAGTAATTAAATAATCTCCTACATGTGTATTCTTTAATTAGATATTACAACAATATGTTTATTATAATTACTATAATTTTTAAAAAATTTTTAGCCATGAGTAATTAGATATGGTTATATACATCTATATTAAAACTAAATTTTTAAAAGCCTATTACTCAGGATAGTCTTTTTAAACTATCACAGATTAGCTAAAGTAATCATTATATATTTATAATTTAAATATAACTTCATTATATAAATATTAAGAAAATTTATAAAATTTTAAACCTAGAAAATATATATTTACTTATACTTACTATTTGAAATAAGTAGAATTAGGCATAATCTTAAAATTCTCCTCAACATACTAAGCAAATTGCATCCACCAAGTAAAGTAAAACAAAAAGAGAAATTCTTTCATTCTTTTCTTTCTTCCAATCTCAGGTAGAATACTGGTAAGTCAAAGAAGCCAGAAAAATAAATAAAATCTTATCATATTTATTTTTCAATATCTTATATTACATTCTTTGCATTATCAAACACATTAAAAAAATCTTACAAGTGCTAATCTGATATTCTTTAATTACTTTCATTAATAAATTGAATTTATCTTATTCAAAGCATTTAATAAGAATTTTTTAAGCACTTTCATTATGTATTTAAGATANGTATTCTTTAATTAGATATTACAACAATATGTTTATTATAATTACTATAATTTTTAAAAAATTTTAGCCATGAGTAATTAGATATGGTTATATACATCTATATTAAAACTAAATTTTTAAAAGCCTATTACTCAGTACAGAATTTTTAAAATCTCTCTTTAAGATATTCCATATGGCATGCCAAAAAACATACATAACAGTTTTTCCTAATTAGACATAATAATACTGTAATAGAATTCTGGTATTAATGCTATAATTGATTCATTACAAATGCCCACTTTCAAATATTTTATAATCTGAAAATGTATGTACTATAAGTGATTTTTGCGGACATAATCAAGAATACATCAGCAGAATGAGTGTGAATTAATTTAATAATTCCAACAATCTACCAACCATTACTATTTTAAATAGGTCAAGTAATTTAAAGAACAATGCTACTACTGTAATAATTTCATCACTAGAAAAACTGACGGATGTTTAATGTTCGGAAGCGAAATTAAAAAAAAAACGAACGCAAACAAATCATTTTTACCGCTATAATTTATAAAAATCATCGCAGAAGCCACTTATAGCATAAAAAAAAAACGAACATATTTGATACAAATGCTTATATAATTTTGCTCTAAATTCTAAGAAATAATAAGTTAATCTTTACCGATTCATCGCATCGCTAACAACTCGGAACGTTACCATTATTCAAACTAGGAAAACAATAAAACATCTGACTAAATACCCGATATTATTACAGTAAGAATAAGAAATATTGAATACATATCGATTAAAATAAAAAAATATATATATATACGCACACCAAAATAAAAATCTACTATAAAATTTCATATACCATCCTGTTTACACCTATTCTACAAAATCTGTTTTACCGGGATTGTCGGGAAACTGTTATTTAACAGCTAAAACAAAGTTATAATAAATCGAAATCGTATATAAAATATAGGTTTTCGATTTATTATAACTTTGTAAAAGAAAGAAAAACTGATTAATAGACAAACTACTACTGAAACATCTACATGGCAGATGTTTGTGGATATCCATCTGCCGAAACATCTCGCATTATTAGCAGTTACCGTTAATCAAATTTATATTCAGTTGAAATTCTTATTTAACAACATTGCGAATAGTTTAATGAATAAAGGTACTCGTTTTTCATTCGTTAAATAATAATTTTCACGTAAAATTTAGCACGTTTCCTACAAAAAACGCCAACGTGCGACGTCTCCCAAAATACTTGATATATGCTTGACCAAGAGAGCAGTGACTGGACACTTTTAAAAGTATCTTATATAGCTGTAGCAGTAGAAAATGATTTAATAATATTTTTTCCGCTCTCTCTTGGATGTTTTAAACATCGAATTAAGCCGTTAAAAATTAATAAATCACGTACTCCAATCTATCAAAACGCGGATTCTGAGTGAGTTTCGCGTAAAGTTAGATCGCTTAAATTTTTAATGCATCTGTCGATTACGTGTTATTTTTTCTATTTTAATAGCAATAAATCATGCCACGTCAAGTAAAGGAATCATTTCTATTCCAGACACGCCCAGTATTATTATTCCTATCCGACTAACCTCTTTAATCCGCTTTGATGCAAAACCAACCATACTAAATGTGGAGAATGAGTAGATTTTTATCGTTGGTACTTTGAATGAATTCTGCTTCTGCCATAATCGTAACTAAAGTTTTAAAAAATAAAAATAAATCTCTACAATCTGAATTAAAAAAAAAAAAAAAAAAGGCAAGCTTTGTTTAGATTCATATCGGAATTTCGCATCGACAAAATTCGATTGCGGATAATTCTTTTCCTTTACAGTCTATCAATGTTTATCGATTGAAAAATATAAGAAAAAGTTTGCGAAATTGCACTAGCAGATTACAATTTGCAAAAGTTACGATGAGAATTTTATTTTTCATGGCTTTTATCGACTGGTCGAGCGATAAAACTTATCCGAATTGCGGGAATAATGAGCGTTTAGCGTTATTGATTTTTCCTTAAATTTTAAAATGTTACTTTAAAAAATACTCAACTAATTCAGATTGGATTAAATAATCTGGATTGTAGAGAATTTCAAAATATAGTAGAATTTTATAAATTTTAATGAATTAATAACGTTATTTATATATTTACGTTGAGTAATATCATGTATTACGCAGAGAAAACATAGAAATGATCTTTGTAACTTGGTTATCTCTTGAACGTATTTAGTTTGGCAATAACATACCAGAAAGTAAACCAAGATATAAAAATAGACATTAGAATTTACATTTCTATTTGCATTACATAATGAAAATATAAGAAATTATAAAAATTTTTCTTCGATAAGTTTATTTCTTATCGATTTTTTAAAATGTCCTTTCTCGAAAAACTTTCTTTTTTTGTGACTAAAAAGCGTGTTATGAGTCCCATTCAATGATTATTTCGATACATCTTTCCAAGCGTAAAATATGTTTTCTCAATTCGTAACTCAATTATTAACAACAATCTGGTGAGTGCCAATTACTAATTTATTTATTGTTAAATGTTAAGAAAATATTTTAATAAGTAATGCTTTGTTTTCTGACATATCTCGGTTTTACTTTCGGAATACTTTTACTATGATAAAAGCTATCTTATCGAAGTTTCTCCGAAAATTCCATACACGTTGCGATTTCAATTCTGACATTTGAAATTTTAACAGTTTTATGAAGTGGCATGATATTTAAATGTGGCTAAAGATAATTATGTGTTGTTTTTAATGTGAATCACGGAAATGAATTACGAGTTATTACATCTTTTACATATTCATCGTATGACTCGCACTTTATTCAATACAATGGATGCAATAATGAGATTTACATGTAGGCCAATTGGAATTTTAAGCAATTTATGCAATACCTAAACATGATTAAGCAATAAAAATTTTATTTCTTCTACAATTATCACGTTTTAAAAAGTCACCATGCAAAAATACCAGACTAATATGTCACCAGTGTATTTTGGATGATGATAAAGACAAGCATCTTCTCTTTAGATTTCGTACACATATTACTAAGAATTAAATCATTTTAATTTAATTTTAAATATAAATTATTTTTTATATAAAAAAAATATGCATTAAAATCTTTATCAAAACCATAAAGTATATTAATGCAAAAAATTAAGTGATATAAATATAACGTACTTACGCACACATAAATCCTGAATCGGAATTATTCGTCTTTTTTGCCTGTTATAAAACAGGCATCACCTAACATACATCTTCCATTCTCTACGTCCAGTATCGAAGAGACTCGCTGCCGCCATCTTAGATTTGTTTCCACAACGCCATCTGTTATAATGATGTTTATTAATAATGGTTATATCATTTTAATATATTAAGAATAATTTAATTTTTAAATAATAAAAAGTCTTTAAATTATATTTTAAGTATAATTTTTTATTTTCAATGCTATTTAAATATAACTTTTATATTTAAATATCTTCTAAGTATTGTATATTTAAACATTTATTCAATAGTTTAATTATAAATGTAACATTTATAATTAAAGTATTTAAGAAACAATTTTAAATTTCCTTTATTTTGTATACCGGCGAAAATTTAAAGAGAATTAATTTGAAACTCATAGTAAAGTCAATTTTTTAACTTAGTCACTGAAACAAAGATGTATAGTATTCTGAAAGTTTAATCTACTCTTCATGTTTTCGCCAGTAGCAGTAAAGTTTATGCATAATAAAAAAATAAATACTGTAATTACGGATTAGAAAAAATACGTTCACCTCCGTCACGGTATATTATTAATTAAACAAAAAGCTTATTTTAAAAGTTAAATTTAAAAAATGTAGCAACAAGTTGCTTAACTTTTTCAACAACATTTAAAACTGCGTGTGACGCCATCTGTTATGATATTTTATTTAAAATAAACTTTTTATATTTTTAATTTTTATAAAATAGCAAAAACCTTAATTTTGAAGGTAGAGATGACTTTTTAATGTTAATAACGAGTAAAATTGTCATTAAGTCCGACTCTATTTGAGAAGTCGCACGACCCCTGGCCTGTATCTCCTTGTCCCCCGTCTTTTAACCACCAAACTTTAACAGAATCAATTCCCCAAATACACAAATCTCCCTGCAAAATTTCAGAAAATTTCGAAAAAAGTACAGGAATTATTAAGTTTCAAAGTAGGTGAAGAAAATCTTGGCTCCCACACATCCATGCATACAGAAAAAATTCCGAAGTTTTTTGCATTTCTCAACGTTTCAAGGTTTTCTGAGTCCAAAAATGTAAAAATCTTGGGGTCATTTTTTGACCGATTACCATACTTTTCCCCTGTTATATATAACAGGAAAGTAAAAATGCCGATTTGGAGTTTTAATATTATCATAACACACCTGTTATGTTGCCGAGATAGTTTTATTTCAACCTGAGGATGGCCTATGGAATACACCATCCTCAGGTTGAACCAGAGAATTGGAACATCGGCAATTCAATTTTCTGGTTCAAAAGTTTGCCACGAACTCATAATTTATACCTTAGTTTATAATTGCATGTTTTATCAATATACCTTAATAATTCATTAAGGTTTTTAATGTTTGTTCAAAGTATTATTAGTGGATTTTTATTTTTATTACTATATCTGACTTTGTTTTTATTTTATATTTATATATATTATTTTTCTGTTGTTTTTTTTTCCGTGGACAATTTTTTAATTTAAATATATGTATTCTATTTTTGGAACGCCAATGCTCCAATTCTCTGGTTCAACCTGAGGATGGCCTTTGGAATAGGCCAAAAACGTTAGTTTTCAATAAAACTATCTCGGCAACATAAAAGGTGCGTTATGATAATCTAGTTATTTGCTGAGCTACGTCTGTTAAATATTTTAATAAGAAATATTTTCAAGTTTCACAGTTCAATATTATTCGAAACATGATAAGGAACTATATACGGAATTTTGGTTGGAAGGTTAGTACTTTGACTTAATTTTATCAGTATTTATCTAAGTTCAGTTTAGAGTCAGAAAACGGCAATTTATTTACATAAGTGATCTTCAAAGAATATTTTTTATGAAGAAATAGTGCCATGGCGAAGGAATGTAATATTAATGTGATTAAATGAAAAATTATATATGAAAATATAGTTTATTTTGCAAGTTGTTATTTGCGTAATGTATTGCAAAACTGTTAACTAAAATAAACAGAAAATTGACGATCCTCCTTAAGAATATCTACAAATTAAAATAGCGTGTCGCATAAAACTCAAAATTATTTTTAAAAAATGCTGATTTCATTTATCTTTAATTGTCATTAAAATGTCAAATTATGCAGAAATCCTGCCGGCACAACTGATAACGTCTTGCACTTTGTGTACTGGACTTAAATTACTCTCCGTATGCATCGAGAGGCTAATCAATTATTTAAACTTAATTATTATATATTATTCGTTCATGTACATTTTTAAAAACTTTTTCCTCTCTGTGGGCACTAAAATGAGCCCTTTTTAAATCAATTCCACTATGGGTTCAGCCAAGCCAAGAATGGGGCAGCTGGGTGATGAGAAAGGGGGTTCGACATATACGGACGAACCTGAAAAAATTCACGGGAGTTTTCCGACCCATTCAGATTCGTTCTCGATAGTCCCTCAAAACAGTAGACTCTCACCAGCTGTCAGGCTCGATTATCCGGCCAACCCGCCCGTCCCATTCATTAAACGTTTGTTTTGTTGTTGAATTATGTTTCAACAATAAATTATAATGTATATTTATAGGTTTTTATTTCCTTTAATTGAAATATTAGGCCCCAAAATAGTTGTTTCTGTTTTACAGCAAAAACTAAATATATTTTCAGTTCAACTACATCACGTTGCATTCGCCTTCCTCACAACATGCTTGTGAGAGGGGTGAATATAACGGAGGTGAATTTTTTAATTTAAACAACAATTTTTAAAGCATTTTCTGTAATTACATAATTAATTTTTCGTGCACGAGATGTTGAAGTCAAACTTATCATTTTACAGAACTTGCTGCTAATTTCGTGAATAATTTGTTAATTATTCCGTTCCGAATAGAATGGAGGTGAATGTTAATAAATATACTGTACAGTACGTACTGTACAGTACATATAAGATTTAATTGGTAAAAGTCCACTTATTAAAAAAAATTGAAGCATGCCTTTTAAATGATCTTGTTAAATTTAATAATTAAAATTAATAAATTTANTGATTTTTTATGTAGAATCATAATATTCAATAAAATTGGGAGTTCTCAATTAAGAAAATGAAATATCAAACGAACAGCCGGATTCCTTTATCGGGCTATCAAGACTAAATAATTACTAAGTAATTTGGCAGAAGGTAGACGGTTACGCTGCCATCTCTTGTTAAATTTAATAATTACAAATAAATAAATTATTTATGTAAATTATTATAATTACAAATAAATTATAATTATAATTATAATTAATAAATAAAGTAAATAAATTATAATTAAAAATAAATAAATACAATAGAGCATCGATTATCCGAATGTCGATCAACCGAAACGTCAATTAACCGAAAGCTTTCCAGTCAGCAAATTTAAATTTTCGCTGGTGCTGTGGCGTCGCAATCTTTGGTTATGTCTTAGGCTACTCAATATTATTTTTGTTGGTGTGCGTGTTTTAGCTGGCAGCACTGACGCACTATGAGAGGGTACGTAAGGATGTGTCGGGATTTGAACGAATTTCAACATGGGATAGGTTAATATTTTTTTTCGTACATAATCGGTTATCCGAAAAATCAATTTTCCAAGCACAACCCCAATTCCCAATTGATTCAGATTATCGTTGCTCTACTGTAATTAATTTATTTATTTCTAATTATTAAATTTAACAAGAGATGGCAGCGTAACCGTCTACCTTCTGCCAAATTACTTAGTAATTATTTAGTCTTGATAGCCCGATAAAGGAATCCGGCTGTTCGTTTGATATTTCATTTTCTTAATTGAGAACTCCCAATTTTATTGAATATTATGATTCTACATAAAAAATCAAACTTTTATCTGAAACATTTTTTCTGAAAGATCCACCTATCAGAAGTTATAGGTTTTTGAATTTTTAAGTGACCCGCCATACCTTGGTTTACTTGATTACGGCAATGCCTCCCGAGAAGATTCTTACAGCAAACTGGCCCCTATTTAGATTTTACAAACGTGTAAAAACTCGGAAAACTCCACATGGTTGGAAAGGCGCAAACCCACGACCAGTGTAATTATGATCAATGGTTTTATTCACTCAGCTACTGAAATTTTATATTTTTGAACTCAAACGTCGAGAAATACAAAAAAATTCAGGATTAATTTCAGTATGTATGGATGTTAGTGTATGTCTTTGTAGCACAATTTTGTTCACCCTCTTTGAAGCTCAACTCTTTTGCTTTTTGTTGAAAATTTCTGAAATTTTGCAAGAAGGCTTCTTTATTAGGGGGATTGATGCTATTAAATTTTGGTGGTTAAAGGTTATGAACATTTGAACTTGTACATGGCCATCATATTGTGCGCGCTCATATCTATGCATATCTGAAGTTCATTGAAAAAAATCCAGCAACAAATTGTTTCCCAACCCTCGGGTTGGGGCGATAAAGGGATTATGTCATATCTCGAGTAAGGTCTGACTTAATGAGATTTTACTCGTTATTAGCATTTAGAATTTTTTATGAAGCCCATCCCTACTCTTAAAATGAAGATTTTGTCACTTTAAAATAATTAAAAATATAAAAAGTTTTTTTAATAAAATATCGTAACAGATGGAGCCATCAAATGTTGCCAGGAAAGTAAAACAATTTGTTGCTGGATTTTTTTCAATGAACTTCAGATATGCATAGATATGAGCGCGCACAATATGATGGCCATTTACAAGTTCAAATGTTCATAAGTGCATCTTTCGGTGAAAAAAATGTTTCAGATAAGTTTGCTTGTTTTTTTTATGCGGAACCATATATGCAATAAAAACGGGGGTTCCAATTTAAGAAAATGGAGATAGCACAGTTTTCACCGATTCATCAATTGTAAGGAAATTTATGAGGAACAGACAGCGGCATAGACGGCCGGATGGCCGAGCAGTTAAGGTGATAGTCTACTGTCCTGGGGACCCGAAATCGAATCCAAATGGGTCGGATTAGATTCTGGAATTTTTTGGGGGTGATCCTTATATCACAACTCTACAGTTGGAGTCTCTGTTCCACCAAACTACCATACAAAGTTAAAATACAGTTTCAATACAGAGTAGAGTAATCACTGTGGTGTCTGAACTATATGACCGGACCATGGTAAATGTTCCACTCTGGCAGTACAACCCAATAAGGACCAGCCTTCCTCGCTCTCGAGCCTGATCCTCTTACTTTGTGATACAGTTTTGGTGCAGTTGCTCAGCACTGTGAGTCCTCTACCAAAGAAAGGCTGGCTCATGCATGGTCATTAACACGATGAGGATGCAAGTCCCAATATGTCTAATCAGCTGGTCGTCCACTCGGGACGTCGCCTCAAACGGCCCTCTTCTAGAAAGTGGGCCGGCCTAGTGTGACGCTTTGAATTATACGTCGAAAAGACCTGGTACAATTCCCATCAATTCCTTTGGTCTCATTATGTTTCCTTTACCCGCTGCTAGCGTTCGAAGTACCAGCTTGGAAAGCTGAGACCAATCGATGTCACCGACCGTCCTGTGGAAGTCCTCGGTAAGAGGACAGTCAAGCATGTAGTGCTTGACTGTCCTCTTACCGAGACTTGACTCTTACCGACTCTTGACTGTCCTCTTGACTGTGTTCTCGCGTCACTGCGAGAACACCCACAGGAGCCGCAACCATCTCCTTGTCCAAACCTCGACTTGAAGTGGGGACACTTCCCATGTCCACTCAGTATTTGCATCTTATACCAATCGCAACTGACTGGAGTTCGGCTAACTTCAGGCATGAAGGCGTAAGTTAACTTACCTATCGTACTTTGAGTCCAGCTGTCTTTCCAGTATGTTAGATCTTTGCAGTAGAGTACCTTTTATGTAGGAGGCCTAGGGATCGACCCAGTGGCGTACCGTAGTGGGGGCGGCACTTTTTAGGGGGCGGCAAAATTTCACAATAAATAATAATAATATCTTGTAAAAATTTGAAACATCCTAATCCAGGGGTCGGCAACCTGCGGCTCTTTGGATGTGAAGTTGCGGCTCTTTAGTTCCATACGCAAATATTATTTATTTTATCAAAAAAAAAAAAAACATTTAAAAATCGTTCTGAATCGATTAACGAGGATTAGGCACCAATTCTATCTCTCAGCCACTTGTACTCGCTTTTCACCGCACCCCTCCCCCGTGACACGCGTCGTCACTGTCGTCAGTCCGTCGGAAGCTCTCGAATGACGCCGTCGTCGGATGTTTCTATGAGGTTTAATTCGCTTTCGACGCAAGACAATTTGGCGTATTCACCAGTGCTTTGACTGTGACGTATAGTTTGTTGTTTCGAGTAAAGAAGTAAATTATCTTCTCAAAGTTATGTATGTACATATATATAATAATAATAATAAAACGAAGTAAAGATAGGTAACATAATAATTATTATATTTTTAAAATACATACTATACATATTTTTTCCAAATAAGATATCTAACTACTTTTTTGAAGTCAATAAGAATTGTCAAAAAAGAAACTAAGTACTACTGTTGGATATTACCGCGAAAGTGTTTTTATTAAAATATATATTCAATAAATTACCTATTTTATTATTTATCTATTTTATAGCTTTTATTATTTAAAAATTAGCGTTAAAATAATAATTATAAGTGTAAGTACCTATAAATTGTTATTTAATAAACCTATTTTCGAACTCCGAGGATCAAAGTAGGTAGATATTTGCAGTTTTAGATTGTTTATATGTTTGGCAATTTTCATTGATTTCGGCATAGCTGGGCATAACACCTTTACTCGTAAACTAAGTATCTAATATTT